TTGCCCGTTTCAGAGGGTGAGGGGGGTAATGTGTATTTGTTTAGTCATGTCCCAGTGATTGTAAAGCTTAAATGTGTGTAGTGTGAGTACATAACGTAAATTAAGCTTTAATAATTTTTATTCTATAGAAAATCTGCTGATTTTAGAAGCATTAATGTCAGTATATCGATATCGGCAAATATCGGTTATCGGCCATAACGGTGATCTTAATATCGGATATCTGTATCGGCACACATATTTCATATCGGTGCATCACTACCATAGAGTTCACCTTTTAATAGAAAATAGACAAATATATTTGTGTTATGAAAAGATTAAAGGACAGTAATTAAAACATTGTTGTACAAGTTGTGTAATCGTCACACCTGAGAATTTATTCAGGAGATTGTCTCGATTAGGCCAGCCACCGGATCAGTGCTGCTGGCATGCACAGTCTTGGCTCATGCTGGTGCACTTTATCCCTTAGAGATTAGCCTACTATGTTTTAATTTTATATATAAAATTGTGAAGGGAGTTTGTTGCTTTATGTGCTTTGTGCGTTGGTTTTTAAAGTTTAAAGCATGATGAAAGTGGGTGTAAATGAGTGGTCTGGATAGCGTACGGCCTTTAATCTTTACTCTGCTCTAACCCTGTGTGGACAAACATTGGACACATTGCTTTGTCCCAGTAACAGACTCCAGGGGATTAGCGGTCTGTGCTAGGTCGACCAGGGAAGCTGTGTGTTTGACAGGCTCTTTCCTTCTCTTTTCAAGCTTAAAATAAATGTTTTATAGCAGTTTTAAAAGATGTTTTGCTCATTAAACATTGTTTGATGTGGAAGAATATTTAGAGGAATCTGGACACACAGTCACTCTAACTTGATTTAATCTCTTGATAACTAATGCCGTGCATGAGTTCACACAGATGGGAAGCGGTGTACTTGATTAGATTGGCTCATCCCCACCCAGTTGGGCCTGTTTGTACATTTCCGTGTTGTTGTTGAATGACAACTTTCCATGCAGCCACTGTTATTAAGTCATGTCAGTCCACCTACATTTAGGTATGCTTTTACCCAACTGGTTTTACAGCAAAGCAGTTTCAGCAGAAGAAAGAAAAACAGCAATGAGTGACCAGCTGGCATGATTAGAAAAGTTTGAAATGTAGAAAAAAATTGATTAAAATATTTTATGAAGTTTTTTTTGTTAGTTTTTTAACCCTCTGGAGGCAGGCGTTGCAGATTTGCGAAGTTAAAACCTAACCATCTGGTTACTCCACATACGTGTTTCATGAGCATTTTTTTAAACTCAGAAGAACCCCTGAAGGACTTAGTTGTTTGTCCTTTTATCACAACTTGTTTAGAGCCTGAGAGGGTTAAATCAGAGTTTTAGTGGAGACATTGTTTAATGGCTCCATCTTGTGGTGGCTATGCAAAATGATCTGAGGGTTTTTGTGTTGAATCAAATGATCTGTAATGGATGATTATTTACAGTGCTGTGAGGAAAATCGTTTCCCTAAACACTTTCTTCTGATTTTACTTAATTTGACATGTTTACATTTTTAAGATCATCAAACAAAGATAATCTGATTAAATGTGAGATTCAGTTAGAATGATTTTATTTATTACGGAACTATCCAAACCAACCTGGCCATACTGTATGTGTAAAATGTATTAGCCCCCAGTTAATTAAGAAATAACTTAAATTAAACCTGTCCGACAACATGAACTATAGGGTAAAAGATTTGCAACACATCAAGCCCTGTTTTAAAGAAATTCTAGAACTAACGAGCCCTGAATAATGTCTAATGGTTGAGATCCGAGGTCACGATTTTATAAAACGATCATAAAAGAGTTGCAAGGGAAAAATCTCTTCTGACCAAAAATAAGTCAAAGGCACGTCTCACATTTACCAAAAACATCCTGATTATTACCAACAATTAGAAAAAAAACAGTTGGAGAAAAAATGTCCTATAGACGTTGAGTGTTCTGGAAAGTTTGTGCCTCGTTTGTCTGGAGTGAAGCTAACCTTGGATTTAAGTAAAACGTCATACCAACAGTCAAACATGGTGGTGGTGGTGTGATGGGCTGGGGATGCTTTATCACTCAGGGATTGAATGACTTGTTGTTCTTGATAGAACCAAGGGTTCACCTCTCTAATAGAGACCTTTGACCTTAAATTGAAGGTTCATACTGATCTGAATTCCAACAATTCTGTAGCAACACAAGAAACGTCATCAATTATCTGTTCAATTCAGGCCAGATGTTTTTGTCTTCTAATTATTGAAATTATTTGAAAAGCTTTATTTTTATTTTTATTTTTTTAAACTAAGGTAATTTTTGTCTAATGTTTGCTGTAGAGGCCGGATATATTGGGCCGATAAATTTTTTTTTTCTATATCGGCCACTAACTGAAATTATTTTTAAAAGCTGATTAAAAAAAATAAAATAAAGAATAAATAAAAATTGGGCACCTTTTTCATTGTTTACACCTAAGGGGCTATTCCACCCCTAAGTAAAATTTTGTCTGTGAGATTTCCCAGAGTTGGATAAGTGAGAAAAAGGATTTTGTAAAAGGAAGGTTCTAGCATAGAGCTTTCCTTTTACTTGCATTGCTTTATTCTAAGCTAAAGCAAAACATACTGCTTCTAGATCAGGAGAAAGACTGAGCTTGTTCGCTACAAAATCCTTTTTCTCATTTATCTAACTCTAGGAAATCTAACAGACAACATTTTACTTCAGAGTGAAATATCCCTTTAAGTTTGGTGTTAAGTGTTTGCACTTTTTTTTAATGTATAGTTTAGATTTTATTTCTTACTAGAATGTGATAGTGTGATTTACTTTGTGATTTTTTTTGTTACTTGAAGCTTCCACCTAGACCAGCCACTGTTTTGCACCATTATTCTGGGTTCTGTTTGATTTTCTTAATTTTAAACACTTAAAAAATTTAATCTGTTTTATTTTCTATTTTTTTCTATTGTTCTGAAACAGTTTGCACATTGTTAATGTTTTATGTTTGAAGTTCAGTAAATATTAAGAGATTTATTGGCATATATAATTTATATTGCACACAGTGAGTGTTCAGTTGTATTTCACAATGACCGTGCTGCTAAAAGGTGTATATCATCCTTAATAATTGGCTTTAGATGTTGACCATCGGCAGCAACATTCTTTAAAAATCAGTATTGGCATCGGCCTTAAAAAAACCATATCGGTCGGCATCTAGTTTGCTGACACTAACCTGCTAGCCTAGAATCAAAACAGTCATTTGCCGAAGCAAAATAATTTTGCTTTGCTTATTGGTTTAGCAATGCTCCATTGGAACCTCCCGCAAACCCCGGCCAATCACAGCGCGTTTATTTATAAAAACAATGTATTTTTGTTTTCTCCCCTGCTTCTTCCATGGAGTAAACTGCAGATTGGACCACTGGATGCCAGTGAACAGGACAATCACAACACTGACACTCTTTGGTGGGCCAAACACAGCGCTCTGTTGATGGGCGGGATGTTACTGAAAAAACAGATGTGGCGATGGCTTGTTTGGACTTTTTTGACTTGGACTTTTCTTTGAATCCAGAGCAGAGGTGCTCAAGTCCTTTATTTAGAAAAAGTTGAATTTGTGTCTTTGATGGAATATGGTACACTGCCCCTTTGACTGACATCGGTAGTGGCGAGTACGTCACGTTGTTTGTTATCCAATAGCATGCGGAGACAGTTTGAAAGACAACTATCGATCCCGCCAGACTATATATTAAGATAGGATGGCTTGTCAGGTTACTAACCTGCTACTTCCTGATTCATTCCCTATACTTGTACCTTTTTTCCTCATTTACATTTAATCACGTTTATTGTCAGACAAATCGAGGTTTGTTTAGAAAACAGTTGGCGAGACTGTTATTGACTCACTGGTAGAGAAACGTGGCAGCGACACATGGCAAAGGACGTAGTTGTGCAAATTCTATTATTAGTTCCTCTGTATTCCAGCAGCTGTCCCTCTTCCATCGCCTGGTCTGGCACCGCTCATGTTACACCCCCCTCCCTCCCATCCAGCCTGTCTACCCCTCAGACTTCAGCGCTCAGACTCTGACCCCTCCCTGGAGGTTGCCCACCCTCTCAGGGCTTGGAGTATCCATGCTCCCAGCAGCCTCAGGTCTTACCCTACCTTATAGCTCTGGCTGCGCCGCTCCAGTGGCTGAGTGAAGATTGGAAGGTTAACCAGGCCCTGAGAGGAGGTAATGGGCTCCAGCCTCTGGTGGACTGAGTGTGTGGCGAGTGGGGTGATCTGCTTGGGGTGTACATGCTCAACTTAGCAGTTCCATTAGGGCTCTGATAGCGTCTGGGAATGGCCTCCTTTGCTGCTGAAACTATTTATAGGAGTGGACGCTGATGAAAGCAGGGCCAGGGATGGTGAAACAGTTGCTGTGTTGCTGCTTCTCTCAGTGGCTCCATGTTTTACTTTAGATATTGAAAAGTTTTCGCAGAAGTTCTAAAAAAGCCTCTGATGGTCTGCTTTAGTGCCGTGTTTTTCAGTTATCCACGTCTTTTCTCTGTCCTTTTTTAACCGTCCCTTTGAAACAAACTACATTGTGATGATTTCATTGTGTAGATTTGAATGAAGGGTTATCATTCTTGCTTTGTAAAGGCAAATCTAGAATTATTTAATGTTTGTGCTTTATTTTTGACCCGTTGTGTGTAACGATCCATGTTATCCCACCTGTCCATCCTTTAACTCCCGTTTTTTTTTTTTATCACTCAGTTGCAGAATCCATCCTGTCGTCTTTGGCTGCTTTTCGCTTCCTTCTCGTCATTCCATATATTTATTCTCCACGCCGTCCTGATTAAATCCATGACACTTGGCTTGTCACCATGGCGTACAAATCCCGCTTTTCCTTCTGGGAACAAAAGGAAAGTGTTTCTGAGCCTCCCATCCACATCATGCTGTGTGCTGAATTAGTTAAACTTGTATAATGCCTACAGAGAAACTCTTAGGTCTGGTTTGATTTTGTTGTTGCTTTTTCTTTCTAGGTAAAAGTTGAGAACAAGCCAGATGTAAGTGTTTTGTTATGGTGCACGCGTAACAAGCTCTAACGTGAGATGCTAAAACACGTCTACTAAATGTTTTATGGGATCAAGTGATTTTTAGAGATTTTTCTTCTTATTCTCAATCATATATCTTCTGAGATGTTTATTGATTTTAAGGTTTTTTAGGAGCTTGATCTTGATGCAGCATGTGTTTGTTCACTTAATATTTACCAATAACCATCAGTCTGAAAAGATAAATGGACAAAAAATAAAAATAAAAATGGTCATTTTAGACATTTTTCTTTTAACACATTCATTAGATTGGGAATCTTTTAAAATGATGTGAATAATTAATAGCACATTTATTGAAAAAATATTGCTCATGTTTGCATGCTAGATGTGTCCTCTGAGTTTGATAATATTTAAGTCATTCTGCTACAAAGTCTCTTATTTTGGTGAACCATTGCAGCAGAATTTGCATGTGTGTCTTTGAGTTTTAAAACTTAAGGTTCAAAAAGTTAAACATCTTTTGAATTTTTTGGCCCAAGTATGTGGAGACAAATATCTGGTACGTCACTCTCTGGAGATGGAAGGCTAATGGCTAGTCCGACTGGCAAAAATCCAAAGTAGATTGTTTTATTACAACTCAAATCAAATTTTTATTGCATTTTCTTGAAACAATTAAAAAAACTATTTTATTTCCCCATTTAGTTTATTACATAGACTTTTATAATTACAGGAACAGCAGTAGCTAGCTGTAGCATTTCTGGTAACCCCTTCTGCAGGAATTTCATAACTAAACATTTCCAACAATGCTCTTGTGATAACTGCTTCATAAATTTGATCAAACAGCATATTTTTATTTGGTTTATGAGACTGGATTTGTTTAAAAATGGCAGAATTATTATTTTGTCTTGGCCCCATTTGAACTAGCTGTTAGCCCATCAATCTGTTCAGAACTAATCTCTATTTCTCCAAACAGAGGTTCTTCAAAGAGCTCATAGACAAGATAAAAAAATGAACCTGTCTTTTCCACAGAAACTTTCCTTTTCCTTTAAGAGACAGATAAAATCTGTTTTGAACGACCTTGCCAGTGTTTCAGCTCCACTCATGAGAATAATTGAATCTGTTTGTGTCCAGTCTGATAGTCAGCTTCCAGCTGGAGCTAAACCTGGGGCAGACACAACAGGTGGTCTGCAGTCAGCTGAGGGGTCCAATGGTAACATGGGAGGACCAGATACTCCAGGGGAGGAGGAGAGCAGCAGCAACAGAAAAGTGGTAAGAGTTATGCGAAGAGGGGTTCGTTCAGTAGCTGCTGCTGGAACAGAAGAGCAGAACCAGTCCACCCTTTCTACGTCAGCATCAGAACCTGGGATCTCAAAACCCAGAGCTGCTGGGGAGGACAAGGATGCCCTGTCCATGGGTCTGACCAGTTTAATGGGCAGAGGCAGAACCAAGGAGCACCGGCCTCGCACCCGCACTCAGGACCGCAAAGAGGAGGTGAAGCCGGAGGAAGAGAAAGAAAAGGTAGAGGAAGAGGAGGAGGAGGAGGAGGAGGGGAAATGTACCATAGAAACCTCACCTTTGCCAGCTCCTCCAGCTCCAAACCCTGAGCTGCCAAAATCCAACCTCCTCATCCCTCCAGCTGGGTTCATCCCTCCTTCCAAACCAAACCCTTTGGCACCGCCTGCTGGTTTCATCCCTGCACCCAAACAGAATCCATTGACTCCTCCACCTGGTTTCATCCCTGCCAAAAAACCTAGCCCCATGCCACCCAAACAGAATCCCTTGGCGAGACCTCCGGGATTCATTCCTGTTCCAAAGACGGATCAGTTGGCTCCTCCTGCAGGCTTCATACCGAAGGCCCGTTCATTCACGGTGAAGAAAGCAGAGGTACGGAGTGAAAAAGTGCACGTTTCTCTGAGTGGAGCATGCCCCAAGAAACTAACACCAGTTATTCCTTACTTACTCTAAATGTAACTAAACACCTTTAAAATATGTTCTAAAATGTCTTTTTCAAAGCAAGGTTGCTTAAGGAAGAACTTGTAGTTTTCTCTGAAGTAAAAGTTGGTTTTTATTTCTGAAAGAGTCAAAACGAGGGCAGAGTGAATGTGGGCCGATTATCCGGGTTCATCATCAGCAGATGAAAGTGTGGACCGATCTCTGACTCACCATCACTTTTTGGAAGGTTTTACTGGCTGAAGGTAAAAGTTTCGAGAAGTATTAGGATGCTTTTTCATCATATGGGCAATGTTAAATTTTTATCTGTCCAGAAGACGCAGAGATCAGTTTGAGGGTTTTAACGCTGCAGCAGGCATTGGATTTAGGAGAACGGTGTTGTTGTTGCAGAATGATGCCATGGTTTTAACTTCTCTAGATGGATATGCCATTTTTTTTTCAGCAACGTGACATCTAAACACGTCCGTGGGAGTTTCCTGTGTTTTGGTTCTATTGACTGCATCCATTTCAGCTAAATTGAAAAATCCAAAACTGATTTGGTCATTTGTTTCTCCTTGGGTGCAAAAGCATTGGGTTGTGCTTCATTTTTGTTACTATTTTTCTAAGAATGATCATTTAGAGTTTTCGAGCTAAATGTCTTCTCTGAGAGAGATGTAAAGAATGCTCCTGCAGCCTTATAAAATGTAATCTTATCTGCCTGTCTAACACCTATTTACGAATCATGCAGTTTTAAAAAGACTGAAACAGTGTTGTCATCACGTATTAAAGAACTAGTTTGAAATCTGATCTGGAGGCACTTTGATACAAAAGTTTGTCACAAAAACACACATTTTCCCCTTTTCTTCAGTTGAATGTATGACAAAGGTTAAAGAGAATCATTTGACTGCAAGAAGTAGAATTTTACAGCAAGAAGGTGATTTACTAGGAGTTGTTGGCAGAAAAAATGCTCCTGATTTTGCTTTGTTGTTTTAAAAGAGCACTTTAAAATATTCTATCATGGTCCGGTGCAAGGATGGAAAATAAATTGAAAACTCTGTAAAAATCCCCCCAAAAACGTAATCAACCTTCAGAAACCCTGCAGAGCAGCTGATCTCAACCTCAATGATGGCAAATTATAAAGAAATGATGGGTTGTTGTATTGAAGGAACAAACATGTTATCTGGTGACCCACTATAGAAAGTCAATAATAATGTTATATCATGTAATGATTGTTATAGAACTTGACTCTCAAACCTAATTATATTTATCATCCTACTGACTTTTATTATAACAGCTAAGTAACAGGAAGACATCCCTTTTCTATGCTAAACCCAATTAATCCATTTTTAATGACATCATTTATCTTTGTGTTTTACTCAGGGCATACCATAATGTTCAACCTGGTAAGCCATCGTATGTGCTGGCCATAAAATTAGAATATCATGACTAAGTTGATTTATTTCAGTAATTCTACACTGAGAACCCGGATAAGTACAGTTTACTAGAAAATTTCCCGGTAACTCGTTGCCTTAAAGAGCAAGTCACTCCCAAATCAACTTTCTTTTGCTGATAAACTATATAAATGACTGTCTAATCGTGCTGTAGACACATGTAGTCCATTTGGCACTTTATTCTGCCTAAAACTAGGGATGTCCCGATCCGATCACATGATCGGAAATCGGCACCGATCACGTGGTTTCAGACTGATCAGGACTCAGGCTTTACTTCCCGATCCAGAGTTGGATACTGGGTTCAAATTACAGGAGAGCAACTTGGTTCTTCTTAAAGGTTGTCAGGCTCCCCTGATGCCCTTAACTTACACACCCAGAAGGAGCACAAAAAAGATCCAGTTTCTACCTATATTATATTATATTATATTATTGATATGGACTCAGAGAAGCGGGGACTCTTTTGGGCAGAGATGCAGAGCAGCAGGCAGACCGCTGATGATTCATGAACTCCAGCTGCGTTCTGCACACGGCCACAGTAACATTTTCTAAGTTTCTAAGTGGCGTCACCAAAAATATACAACTAACACACACTCACTCGTGTCCGTTCATTTTCTCTCTGGTAAGTTCTGTCTGTATTTGAGCGTGATGTGTGTTCGTGCTGCAGCGCTCGTCACTGGCGCAGCCGTGCAGCGTGGCGCACACTCCGCTTTTTTAGCAGTCAATAGATCAATTTGATCTGCTAGTTAAAAAGTTACTTGTGAGGTGAAAAAGAAGGAAGCAGGCAGGAGTGTTTCTGGTGGACTGGGAGATGCAGGAAGATCAGAGACAGACAGGACAGGAAGATAGGAAAATAAAACCCAAGGAAACTAAACAAAGTTCTTAAAAAAATAAAATGTAGGTAGATTGATCCCGCTACACGTTTGTACCTGTATAAAGCAATAATTTATCAGCATGTAGTATTTACATAGTTGACACAATTCAGATCATCTTCAAAACTCCGTCCCTGGGCATGGGACGATCTAAGCATTTTGGGGGGCCGAGGCAAATTGGACCCCTGCCAGGTATTTTAAGTTGAAGTGCTATCTGTTTTTATATTAGACTTTTTATATTTGCAATAAAGTCCAAAAGTGAAGAATTTGTTATTTATTACTTGATTGTTCAAGCTACCTCACAGAAGTGATCTGTTGTTAAAAATTAAAATAAAAAGGTAATTAAATAAAAATAAGAAACATTCTGGAACTGTTTCTTCTTATTTTTTTTTAATGCATCAAAAGTATCTGATCGGGACTCTGTATCGGCAGATTCTCTAAATCAAATGACTCGGACTCAGGGGCAAAAAAACCTGATCGGGACATCCCTACCTAAAACTGTCAGTGTTGCTCCGTCTTCGGGTAAAACCTCTGCATTTGAATTTAAATCTGTCATCGCTATTGGCTAAGAGGTACACTATGACGTTAGCTGGTACATTACAATGTCACAATGTCATTGTGAGCCTGTGTGTGTGTGCTTGTTAGTGGATCCACCCTCTCGGTCTGCCAGGCAACAGCATTTGTTGGCATTTTTCTAACAGGAAGTGGGAGTGTAGTAAGACTCAGGTAGTTGGCGACTTGCTCTTTAAAATTTTCAAGTAATGAAGCATGCAGGAAAACAAGTTCAATGTTGAATGTACTAGTTACATAGTTACAGTAACTAAAGATACTTAGTTGAAACAATTATTAAACACCCATTTATATAACTAAGCTTGTTTCTTAAGCATTACTCTATTTCCAATTTAACCGGAGCATGTGTGTGTGTGTGTGTGTGTGTGTGTGTGTGTGTGCGTGTGTGTGTGTGTGTGTGTGTGTGTGTGTATAATCTAATACACAAGTTTCACTTTTTAATTAGAATTACTGAAATAAATCAACTCAGTCATTTTTATATAGTCATGATATTCTAATTTTATGACCAGCACCGGTGTGTAAATGTAAAGTCTGGCCACGACCCAAACAAAATGCTCACTCATTGGATGGAATTTATGGTTGTCTTTAAAACTGTCTCTACTTGCAATTGAACTGCGCTAGGACCAATCAGCGCAACAAGCAACATGCTACGGAAATCTTACACTGTCGAAGACGTAGAAGAAGCAAATATATCCTTTCTTGTGTAGCGTAATGGTTGTTGGCTCTTTTATGAAAGATAAACCATTCTACATAATAATCTGGAATATTAATTTTTACAAACTAATAACCAAATGTTATAGAGATAAGAAGACTCAAAGGTTCTTTTCATCGATAAACTGACAATCATATCCGTTTGTCTGTGTTTCAGTTCAATGAAAAGACGAGTTTAAATTTTAAGAGTTTTAATTCTTCAATTTAAACTAACGATTTGAAATGACAATCATAGGAAAAACAATCAACATTGGCAACCTTGTTGGACAATCTTTAACAGTTGATATTTTAAGCTTGCACAAATAGACCTTGTGTTGGATGTGCTACAATTGAGGATGATGGAAGTATGAATGCGTGCATGCAGGTGTCTGAGATTGCTTCAGGGAGAGAAAAGGTGTCTGAGTGAAAAATGATGTTTTGCAATTAAACTTTAGTTCTTATTAGAAAAACAGCATCAGAACGCTATCTACTGTGTTCTGCCTCACCTCACTTAGGACCCTCTTTTAGATCCGGACCCCGGAGGATGTGTTATCCAGAAGACACCTTGGCTGGCAGAGAAGACGAAGGTGTGTGGCGGTCCAGTCCCGGGTTGACCTCGGTACACATTGCTGAAGCGTTTGGCAGATGCGCTTTCTCAAGTTTAAATTAACTCAGAAATCAAAAGACTCTGGGACGAGTCTGCGTTATCGGTTGCATTTCTGCTATTCTGTCTGGCTTGACAGAAATAGCGTGGTGGGAGAACAGGAGCCTGCAGGGCTCCTTTCCCCGTGGCGTTCGTTCCGCACTTCAGCTCTCTTCCGTTCATCAGCTCTCTCCCGTTCTGCCTCCTTACCGAAACCACTTCTCTTCCCAAAGCAAACTTGTTGTGCGTCAGAGCAAATGTGTTTTGAAGTTACTGTGGATCCGGACCTGTATGAGCAGGTGTGAAGGTCATCGCTAAACATCTTCAAAAACATTATTTAATTAAGTATACTGATTCATTCTAGTTCATTATGATTACCCAAAGCATAATAATCATTCATTTGATTAAAATACACTTATAATGAGCAAAGTGATCAAATGATTATTTAACATTAATAAAATAAAGGAAGCTTAAGACTCTGTTTTATTATGACTAGACTGTGTGTGAAGTCCTTCTTCTGGAGAGCAGGTGCTCGGATGTTGTGGAGTCCTTCAGACTTGCTGGCGGCTTAGGTCTTAATCTGTGGGTGAAGGTGCTGCGTGACCCAGCTTTGACCCAGCCGGGCAAATACGACCTTTGGCACAGAACCCATACTTCCTCACGTTACAATGAAGACTTCTTCCTGTACCACTGCTTGAAGAAGGTGTCTTTCAGAAACTGGCAGTAGGACTGGGAGTTAAGCTTGACTCCATCCTCAACCCGAAAAGGCCCCACAAGCTCATCTTTGATGATACCAGCCCAAACCAGTACTCCACCTCCACCTTGCTGGCGTCTGAGTCGGACTGGAGCTCTCTGCCCTTTACCAATCCAGCCACGGGCCCATCCATCTGGCCCATCAAGACTCACTCTCATTTCATCAGTCCATAAAACCTTAGAAAAATCAGTCTTGAGATATTTCTTGGCCCAGTCTTGACGTTTCAGCTTGTGTGTCTTGTTCAGTGGTGGTCGTCTTTCAGCCTTTCTTACCTTGGCCATGTCTCTGAGTATTGCACACCTTGTGCTTTTGGGCACTCCAGTGATGTTGCAGCTCTGAAATGTGGCCAAACTGGTGGCAAGTGGCATCTTGGCAGCTGCACGCTTGACTTTTCTCAGTTCATGGGCAGTTATTTTGCGCCTTGTTTTTTTTCCACACGCTTCTTGCAACCCTGTTGACTATTTTGAATGAAACACTTGATTGTTCGATGATCACGCTTCAGAAGCGTTGCAATTTTAAAACTGCTGCATCCCTCTGCCAGATATCTCACTATTTTTGACTTTTCTGAGCCTGTCAAGTTCTTCTTTGGACCCATTTTGCCAAAGGAAAGGAAGTTGCCTAATAATTATGCACACCTGATATAGGGTGTTGATGTCATTAGGCCACACCCCTTCTCATTACAGAGATGCACATCACCTAATATGCTTAATTGGTAGTAGACTTTCGAGCCTATACAGCTTGGAGTAAGACAACATGCATGAAGAGGATGATGTGGACAAAATACTCATTTGCCTAATAATTCTGCACTCCCTGTACAGCCAGTCACTCCT